TCCACCTGGTCATCCACAGCCACCTCGGCCGGCTTTATGCTCTCTTCGGCCTCGATTTCCTTGTGTGCTGGTAAGACAGCATCCACTGTGGCGGTTGGTACTTGAGCTACGAGTGGCTCGGCCAGTTCCACCTCCTGGGCAGGTTCTTCAGCAGCCTCAGGCACGGCCTCTGGCCCGGGAACGGCCTCAGCCACAGGCTGTGGCTCCTGGACGACTTCGTTCGCCGACTCTGCGAGTTCTTCTACTGGAATGGGAAGCTCGACCTCGCGTTCGGAAACTTGCTGTGGCACATCGAATTTGATTTGCTCCTCTTCCACAAGCTCGTGAATGTCTTCACTGGCAGGACATGCTCCCTGTGTGTCCTCCACCATGGGATCTGTCGCAGAAATGGAATCCGGTGCACCACTGTCGATCTCTGGCACCGCCAACTTTTCTCCCTCCTCCAGGATCGCGACTGAAGCACTCTCCCTGGGCTCGACATTCTCCACCTGGTCATCCACAGCCACCTCGGCCGGCTCTATGCTCTCTTCGGCCTCGATTTCCTAGTGTGCTGGTAAGACAGCATCCACTGTGGCGGTTGGTACTTGAGCTACGAGTGGCTCGGCCAGTTCCACCTCCTGGGCAGGTTCCTCAGCAGCCTCAGGCACGGCCTCTGGCCCGGGAACGGCCTCAGCCACAGGCTGTGGCTCCTGGACGACTTCGTTCGCCGACTCTGGGAGTTCTTCTACTGGAATGGGAAGCTCGACCTCGCGTTCGGAAACTTGCTGTGGCACATCGAATTTGATTTGCTCCTCTTCCACAAGCTCGTGAATGTCTTCACTGGCAGGACATGCTCCCTGTGTGTCCTCCACCATGGGATCTGTCGCAGAAATGGAATCCGGTGCACCACTGTCGATCTCTGGCACCGCCAACTTTTCTCCCTCCTCCAGGATCGCGACTGAAGCACTCTCCCTGGGCTCGACATTCTCCACCTGGTCATCCACAGCCACCTCGGCCGGCTCTATGCTCTCTTCGGCCTCGATTTCCTTGTGTGCTGGTAAGACAGCATCCACTGTGGCGGTTGGTACTTGAGCTACGAGTGGCTCGGCCAGTTCCACCTCCTGGGCAGGTTCCTCAGCAGCCTCAGGCACGGCCTCTGGCCCGGGAACGGCCTCAGCCACAGGCTGTGGCTCCTGGACGACTTCGTTCGCCGACTCTGGGAGTTCTTCTACTGGAATGGGAAGCTCGACCTCGCGTTCGGAAACTTGCTGTGGCACATCGACTTTGGTTTGCTCGTCTTCCACGACCTCGTGAATGTCTTCACTGGCAGGAGATGCTCTCTGTGTGTCCTCCACCATGGGATCTGTCGCATGCATGGAATCCGGTGCACCACTCTCGATCTCTGGCACCGCCAACTTTTCTCCCTCCTCCAGGACCGCGACTGAAGCACTCTCCCTGGGCTCGACATTCTCCACCTGGTCATCCACAGCCCCCTCGGCCGGCTCTATGCTCTCTTCGGCCTCGATTTCCTCGTGTGCGGGTAAGACGGCATCCACTGTGGTGGTTGGTACTTGAGCTACGAGTGGCTCGGCCAGTTCCACCTCCTGGGCAAGTTCCTCAGCAGCCTCAGGCACGGCCTCTGTCCCGGGAACGGCCTCAGCCACAGGCTGTGGCTCCTGGACGGCTTCCTTCGCCGACTCTTGGAGTTGTTCTACTGGAATGGGAAGCTCAACCTCGCGTTCGGAAACTTGCTGTGGCACATCAACTTTGCTTTGCTCGTCTTCCACGACCTCGTGAATGTCTTCACTGGCAGGAGATGCTCTCTGTGTGTCCTCAACCATGGGATCTGTCGCATGCATGGAATCCAGTGCACCACTCTCGATCTCTGGCACCGCCAACTTTTCTCCCTCCTCCAGGACCGCGACTGAAGCACTCTCCCTGGGCTCGACATTCTCCACCTGGTCATCCACAGCCCCCTCGGCCGGCTCTATGCTCTCTTCGGCCTCGATTTCCTCGTGTGCGGGTAAGACGGCATCCACTGTGGTGGTTGGTACTTGAGCTACGAGTGGCTCGGCCAGTTCCACCTCCTGGGCAAGTTCCTCAGCAGCCTCAGGCACGGCCTCTGTCCCGGGAACGGCCTCAACCACAGGCTGTGGCTCCTGTACGGCTTCCTTTGCCGACTCTGGGAGTTCTTCTACTGGAATGGGAAGCTCAACCTCGCGTTCGGAAACTTGCTGTGGCACATCGACTTTGGTTTGCTCGTCTTCCACGACCTCGTGAATGTCTTCACTGGCAGGAGATGCTCCCTGTGTGTCCTCCACCATGGGATCTGTCGCATGCATGGAATCCGGTGCACCACTCTCGATCTCTGGCACCGCCAACTTTTCTCCCTCCTCCAGGACCGCGACTGAAGCACTCTCCCTGGGCTCGACATTCTCCACCTGGTCATCCACAGCCCCCTCGGCCGGCTCTATGCTTTCATCGGCCTCGATTTCCTCGTGTGCGGGTAGGACGGCATCCACTGTGGCAGTTGGTACTTGAGCTACGAGTGGCTC